CTTATATTTTATATAACTGGGTTAAATTTTATTTATGGTGTATGCTTCTTCACCTGTTGGCAGCTGGTAAAGGGTGAGGATAGTTTTTAATTCTTTTTATTTATTAAAACTCTCATCTGTGGAAGCCCATTTCTGCCAGTTAAAAATAAAACAATAAGATGAAAATTTAGCTTTGATAATAATAAATAATAATGTTAAGTTAAACTTTTGAGTAAAATGTGACTTTATGAGACAAAAATTACAGTTATGGTAATTATTTTACCTCATTAATTTAGACTTTTTATTCAACAGTTTCGACTTTCTTTATCTCATAATTTTGACCATAAGTTTAAAAAAAAAATCAGATTTTTCATCCTAAAAAAACACAAACATCCAAAACATCTGGAAAAAGAGGTCCAGAGAGAGACCAGTGTGGTCCGTGGGACCAGTTTCCCCGATGTCTATAATGTCTAATAATGTTTCTCAGAAAGGATTCACACTTTTCTTTTTCTTTCTTTCAGTACGTCGAGAGCGACCGCAGTTATGAAGAGCTTGCTGTTCCAACATCCCGTAAGTCCATCATCGTCTTAACTAGCCTGAACTTTTTAACCTTTTCCTCCTGTTTAAACACATTTTATGCTTTGCTGCCTGCATAACACGTTTATTAAATAAAGTGTATTTGTAGACAGACGTGTGAAGACAGGAGGACAGTCAGAGATTGCTTTTATTATTATGAAATGTGATCTTTTTTTTTCCTCCTTGATTAATTCATTTTTCTGTCTCTTGTGACACTTCTGCTCTCCGTCCTTTCTTTCTCAGCGTCCTGATAGCGTCTCTCTCTCTCTCTCTCTCTTCTTCTGCCTCTCCTCTCTCTCTCTCTCTTTCTCTCTCTCTCTCTCTTTGTGATTTCGCCCTGTTGTTGTCAAAGATAGCGTTGAAGAAACGATGTGTCGTCTCTTTTCAGTTTTACAGGCAGCGTGAAGCTGAAAGGCATCATCATCTCTGGAGAGAATGACGACTCTCATCCAGCTGAGATACGACTGTGAGTTTTCTGTCGCTGCTCCTTTGATTAGTGGTGAAGACGGATCAAACCAGCGGTTCCCTGCTGGTCTCACACACTGGGACACACTTTTATGGATTTAAAACCAATTAAATGTAACTTTAATAAACACATATTCAGGGTCATTAGGACCTTTTAACATAAGATATTAAGGGTGCTCCTATCACTGGGTCTATTTGAAGCCTAAGTTTATTTTGTAGCCTTATTTATTTATTATTATTTACTATTCTTAACAGAATTGTATATTAAGTATTAAAATGCATTAATTATTAAAAATATGAGTCGACAACTGTGTATTTATTGGCAGGCAACATGACACAACTTAAACCGCAGCCTGTTATTGGTTATTGGGAGCAGCTTAGAGCTTAACTGTGTTTCCAGAGAATGACAGGGGAACTGTGGGTATATTTCTATTTCTATTAGTCATTTATTATTTAGACTCATTAGAGCCAATATCGGCCGATAACGATCGGTGACCGATCAATCGGTGCATGGTGCTGTTGGATCAGATGCATATACACACATCAACACACACACAATGCAATGTTGTCTTATTTTATAACATAAAATATACATATTTTAACCCTGTATCCCATCTGTTGGAGCCATATTCGAGTGTTTCGAGTTAATTTATGATTAACTTCTTCTCTTATTACTTCAAATGTGATCATTTTTTGTACTTGTTAGTTATATAAATTTAAAGACCCTGAGAGTGTTCACTTTCCTGCTCCTCCTGGATTTACTATGGTGTCGATAGGGAGCCTTAAAGTACGTGATTAACAGGCTGGTGTGTGCGTTCGATGGTTGAGAGCAACAGTTTTCCAACCACAGCGCTTTTCAGGAAATTAATTTAAATCATATGTTGGATTTTGTTTATTTTGTTTCTGGAGAAGTCAATAATAAATAATATTTCAGTTACTTTGAACAGCCAATATCTTAGTTTAATCACTTTACCGTCTCTTCACTACAGGTACAAGAACATCCCTCAGATGTCCTTCGACGACACCGGCAGAGAACCTGAACAAGCATTCAGACTCAACAGAGACCCTGTGGCTGAACTGGAGTACCCAACAAAGTGAGAGCATGAACCGTTTTGTTTTGAATCCTCTCAGCAACGTCCTGCCTTCGAGCAGGAAGTGTTAGTCTCATAAAGTTCTCAAATCAACACTTCATATATTCCATATTATGAGATGTTATTGAGTTTAAATCGTCCAAACAAGCTGCCTGAGACGCTGAACATCTCATAAGGTTGTCCTCTTAGATTAAGTCTTATACTTCTATACTAAGTCTAAAAGGTCCTAATGTTACTCTCTCATTTTAAACATTTATAATCCCACTGGTTCGACTATAAATCATCATATTCTTATAAATCAATAAGATTATAGGTTTGTTTGTCTCATTCAAAATCTTTTACTTTTTGTTTATTGTTTCTTAAAGACATTTTGATTTACTTTATGTACCTTTAATTTCTAGATATAACATTTTATAAAGAAATGTATAAGTAGGAATACACTAAACCAATAAATCAGTTAACAGACAGACAGACAGACAGACAGACAGGGAGACAGACAGACAGACAGACAGACAGACAGACAGACATCAGCATTACTTCCTCAGTGGAGGATAGCGTTATTCACATTTATCTGTTGTCTCAGTGGTTTGTTTAGTTTAAATGGTTTTTCACTTCCTTTCTTTTTAGGAAGTTGTTTTAACATGTAACTCATTTACGTTTCAATAAATAGTTTAATGTAAAAATCTTTCTGTTTCCCTTCTTTCTTTAAACACCCGGGAATTATTAAATATTGCGCCCCTCTTCCCCTGGGGTTGTAACACACTCTCTCTCTGTGTCTCTCTACATGTCTGGAGTCCAATGAGATGAACA